GACTGGGATTTGAACTCTTTACCTAAGTTTATTATACTACAACTCTACCCAAATGATAAGTCTGGTGTTCGGAAGTGTTCCAGCCAAACTGCCACTGTAGGAATACTATTATTGAAGTGTTGTAAAACGCCTTGGAGTAATGTAACGAATTATATACGGCGCTATATAAATATTTTAAATCATTTATTATTATTATTAGTACATATATGAATAGCAAACCTAATCTCTGAGTATGAGATATCTGGTTTATTTGCATATGTTTAGCATTTACTATTAGACTTTTTCCAGATGTAGTAAATGCATGCACCTGTGTGTACAGTCTACCTTTATAAAACATTTCTTTCACGAGTAGAAGCTCTGGACTCTTTTATAAGTGAGAGTCACGTTACAGGTAACATACATCATTAAGATTTGTTTCTTTTCATTTTTCTCTCCTTAACTTAATCTAACTTTTATTTATTTTTCTTGACATTATTAATATATCTTTACGTCACAATTACGTTTATATTACATGTGCACTCCTAATAGTACTTGCGTTCATAAAATACTTAATAAATAATTAATAAGGTTGCAAATTACATAAAAAAAATGAATAACGTGATGCTAAGTAACTTCAAAAGAAATCAATGTTCATTGATCACTGCACCAAAGGAAATTTAGCCACTGTATTCAGCTCTGATTCATAATGGTGCTAAATCTGAAGATATCAATTATAATGTAACAGGCGCGGAAAAATGCACGACCAGACCGGAGTTCGACCACAGGACCTTCCGTACTCTAGATGGAGGAGCTTCCTGGTAGCCCGTCGATCGACTCAGTCCAGTTCTGCTACAATAATATGGTAGTCAATATTCATTCGGAACACCTCGTCCCGATAACAGTAAATTTCATCAAGATGAGTAAATCGGCCGATGTGTTCCGAGTAAGTCAATAGTAAGATTACTTCGTGATCACCACATTCGGTTACGACATTTCGGTTACGACATTACAGTCACGTGGTTCAACAATTAGGCTACACGACCCACATATTTGTCCCGCATCTACAAACGAAACAGAAATATCAATGAGTTCGTTTTCGGTATTCTGGAAGTTTCTTCTATAACAAGTGATATCCGTTATCGTACCAACGATCTAAATCACTTAACATTTCGTGAACTTTCACTTTTCGTTCTGACGTCCATACAACATCTAGTTCAGACGTATACAAAAAAATCATTTCCAGCTCTAATTCAACGTCCAAACGATATCAAAGTATTTGTTGTTTCAATGATGATCCCGCTGGTCGATTGACAACCCCGGTTAGCTGTAATTTCAAAGATATATTGATAGCCCTGGTCTAGATGGTCAGACAGCGCGTTCGACCATTAAGCAAAGAGCGCGGTATGGCGGCCCTGGTCGAGCATGAGGCTTTCAGCAAATGACAGCCTAGGCGACCGATTCTACGCCATGTTTTGAACCCAGCAATAATCAGAATAATCACCTTCAAGATACAAAATGTGTCTTCGCTATAAGCAAGAATTCACATTAATGGGCGCAGTAGTATGAGTGGATGCAGCAAGTTGAGATTGCAAAGCTGTTTAAAGTAAATTTTACAAGAAAGTTATGTGAAAGATACTTAAAGGAGTAATTCTAATAAATGACATACATGTTCATGTGTTGGAACTAAATCGCATTTCTATATTTTCGAACTTTTATTTATCATGGACGAACAGCCTTTTTTGAGTTCAAGTAAAATATAATGACAAATAAAACCAGCTCCACCTGTTAAGCCAAAAAGGACAGCAAAACAGCACAATGTGAGTCTGAAAAGAGAGAAAAACGATTGCGAAAATTTGCAGTGATTTGTACGAAGCAAATTATGATGATCGCAAGGACAATATATCCTTATGCAAAACAACATTGATTTCTTTTCATATAAACAGGAAAGATTATTTATTCCATTGCAAAATTTGGGATGAAAATAAGGTGACCAAAACCGTATTTCGAACTCTAAATGGATCATATCAAAAATATGAAGACTAGATATATTAAAACGGGGGCCTTTGACAAAATACAAGATTAAGACCAGGGCCCATATTCATTAACCATTTCTCTGCACCCAAGACGAAGCATTTGTTTTTTTTAATTACGGTAATGAGGTTATAAACGTTAACATTTTTTAATGACTTAGACGAATTAAGGAGAGACGTACACATTTAGTCGAGTACTGTCTTCGACGTCATGACTTTATGGCCTTTTTCACATGATTTATGCGAGTTACAAGAAAGCTCGTTTGAACAGGGAATCTATGATTAAGCATGAGAACGAACGATTTCATAAATAACAGCTCTGGTATTCCATGGAATTAATGTATCCTGCTTAATCGAAGATACTTGTCATATAAATCGAGGCCAAATCCACAAAAACTAAACCCGAGATGTGACAGCTAAAACTTCAATTGATAATCAATTAAACGCTAAAGCAATGCATTAACATCAAGTCAACAATACATTGATGAAAATGCATTGACGAAATTTAATATTACAAATATGTCAGAAACAACCGTCCCCTTGGGGTTAAAATCCCCTGCTTAACCTCAAAGGCATGAATGAGTTTGATCTATCGATTTCACATAGGTGTAGTCGTTGACCTCTTGTTCTTATATTTTAAGGTTACCTTGATATTTAATATAGTTTCTGATTTTAAAACATGTTTAATCTGTTTTCTTTTGTTTTGCAATTGTCGAATTTTAAATGAATCTTATAATAAATGAAAGAAAAAGAGCTAGTTAGTAAATATATTTATGAGGATATGGGGGTTGGGAAATTCTACCTATCCTAATATGTAAGTGTCTTTCATAAATCCTATACCTACATATGAAAGACACTTACATGTTGTTTTTTTTTGTTTTTTTTTAAATGTCTTTTAATTAAACATTATTACAAACGATATCATTTAAATAGGCTCAATAAGGTAATCTTACCTTATTGTGTTAATTTGTTCCGCCTTATTTTTCAATAACATCTCTCTAAGACGTTTTAAACATGACTCGTCCTAAATTCATTTATCTAAGCTACAATATGAAAAACTAACACAAACTAAAAAAAACAAATAAATAAAAAAAGGGTAAATAATTTTATAACGTCACTAAGAAATGACGTCATTTTTTTTTTATCCCAGAATACAAGCATCTGCCTCTAAAGAACCTTTTAATATTAGCTTTGTTTCTAAAATTAGCCTATACCACCCCGAGGACAAAACAACAGTCAAATCTAGATCTCGTTAATACCATTTGCATATGGTGCCTATGTAGAATAAATCGTTCATTTATAAAACAAAAAATTTGTGTAATTATCTTCATCAAGTGCTTTTCATAAGATTTACATTTTAAAAAATGTCCCAAAATTATGAAATACACAGCATACCTTGAAATGAATTGCGACTCCATGGCGAACGAGGTCAGGCTTTAGAAGGGGACAATCACCGATAACGAGGCATTAAGTTAAGAGTGTAGCTAATTCAATCAATAAAACATGATAGATAAGAAAACAGGGACAACGTTCTCAAACCGAGCCATCAAAACAAGTTATAGGGTCGGGATGTGGCTCGGGCGTGTGTACTCCTGCTAGCACTTAAAATCTTAGGAATGCCAATAACGAAAACGAAACCATACTAGTCTGGAGAAAAACCCTTCATGAAAAATGTGAGATTTCAGTCATTTTCTTCCATATTTACAAATGTTTTATTTTAGACAAAATTGGTCTGTTACTGATTTACGTTTATATCGGAAGTATACATGGCCTCCTTATTTACCACATGACCACCAATTTACGTGACTTTAGTTCCGGAAACTTGTATCTTAGAAACCACGTATTCATACATGTGTTCTTATCTATCAATGTGTACGTAAATTGATTGTTGTACGATCCTGTTCACGGTTGGTTTAAACCTCTTTTCATTTTCTATTTTCTGTTTCTATTTTTATATGGATTTCATTAGTATCGCAGTACGTTTTGTATTTCTTATTTTGTATTGATTCTTTTCCATTATGCACTCTTAAAATTTGGAGGGAGAGGTGATGGGGTTGCTGTAAAGGGTAAACATGTAGGGATCAGGTACAGTGTCTCAAGCGGCAATACAGAATATTCAGTTACTGAAACACGAAAAAATAGAAATAAAAGTATATATTCATTATTTATTTATTTATTTTTGTTATAAATAAACAAATAAGTGTTAATTATGAAACATGAAATCGTACATAATTCTTCTATGTAATAAACATGTATAAAACGTGTCGGTTGCATGTCTGAATTACTGACGAATCATGAAATAATAGTAACTAAACAGCTTACTCTAAATCTCTGTATACATAGTTATTGATATGTTCAAGATATCAATATCATGGCTATTGACTTCCTATACAGTATATAATTGTATATATTTGCAATCAAATTAAAATCTTCTCAAACTGTGAAATATGTTTGGTTACCCACTAGTGGGTAACACAATGCACGTGATATCATTGATCAATCGCCAAGTAACAATATTTTGCGACGTCAAAGTAGCGTTGAAGTACTTGGCGTTAGTTTATTTTTTAAATATAAAAGACACTCGGTAAACCTCGTGTCTAAACACAATTTGAAAATCAACTCACTCGAGTTAGATAAACATGATAGCCAACCATCACCCGTTCGGAAACCTCTATATATCTTGAACCACACTGTATTATGACCCGAACGCAAAATATCATCATAGTTTATACCAACAGTATGATTGAAAGGTGCCAAAACAGAATCTGTTGGATTCACGAAGGAGTGTCTCTATAATGTCTACTTTTTATAACCAATTTACTTGTTTCAACATTAGAGCTTAAGCGAAATATCTTTAAACATTAAAACAATGTCTGGGCCCTCCCTGTGTTAATTTGCCATAGGGGCAAGGTATAAGCACAAATAAATACATTGAATTTATTTTTTTAATGTGACATTTTATTCATGAGATGAAATACAAATAGTGTCTTATATGTGTATATATGTATCATGATTATGATAGGAGAATGTTTATATACACACAGATTATCATAATAATGGTATGAGGTATTATCATAAAACTACAGCTGATATCAGATAAGTCGACTTTCTCTGCCTGTTTAGATAACGTTAATACCAATAAAAACCTAGATCGTCCAGGAATGCTCTGATACTCTAGATTTAGGTCGTGTCCATAAAAAGATGTTAGTGCGCCGCTACTATGTGATTCACAAGTGTTGTCAACTCCATCCACCCGTAAATATCCACTCGAGCATGGCATGGTCAGGCCATTGGCTTGAAAAGTCAGATCCACGAAGGTCAAGGTAATCATTTCACCGTTGCTGATCACGTGATAAAAACAATATATGTCGTCATCGTCCAGGTTGGGATATTTTCCAGATGATATGTATTGTGTTTTGTTAACAAATTCAATGGACCCGCCGCAATCTGGATATATCAAACAAATGATAATAATACTAGCATTTGTATTATAAATATAAGTGCTACACAAAGAGTAAATATTTTAAAACAAACGCTAAGATGTTTTTCTTCTTTGCTTAACCATCTTTTGATCAACCAATATCAATTTCTGTTGCGATAACGTTGATATGAAAGTGCAGATAAACTGGACGATCTATAAGACATTTTGTTTAACTTCTAAAGTATGTCACACTTACTTTTTCTATCTCATTAAACTAACAATAGAAACTAAAAATGGTGCAAATCGCATCAAAAATATTCATGGAAAGTGTAAAACAAATCTAAGAAATGAAATATAAGAATAAAGATCAACTGTTCATGGAGGGCGAATTGCTCAAACGCTGTAATCAGCTGAATATCTATTTGTCATCCTGACATCTTAGAATCTAAGTAAAATTGATAATCCTTACTGAACGTACTTGCTCGTGCTGTTACAACTTCTGTTGAAAAGCTATCAACAACTTCACCGAGACTTTCCATCCAGATGTCAAACTTCACACCGGGGCGATGACGTGTATTGACGACGTATATAAAAGTATCCTTGTTTAAGATGGCGCTATGCCAATACTTCCCGTTTGTCACCATGCTATCACTAGAATTCGATGTAATAGTACCATCCGTCTTAGTGGAGTTCTTATACCGGAAGTTAACTTTATAACCAATGACGTTGTCAGGGTTTCGGTTTGGTGCGGTCCACGTCACAATGAGCCCATACATTGATGACGTCACCTGGACTCGCTTCGGTTTTTCCGGTGTCGGTGCTAAAAACAAATATCTGTATATTGAAACATGTTCCAAATGGAACGCAGTTTACGTTTACAAACATTGAATTAAATTTGAACTCTGACGTAAGCTACGGTTTTTAACGTATTCTTTGGTCAAATACTTTAGCTGTAAGATCAAAGTGTCTTCGCTTCATTATGTATATATGTTTAGTTGTACCATACATTTTGTCGATAGTTAATTGTGTGTTGTAGTGTCTATTGAGCTTACTTGTGGAAGTTACCTCCCTTTTTTATAATACATTTCAAATCAATCTTATTATAATATATGTTCTTCATCAATTTGATTTCATCAATTATTTTAGTATTTCTTGATTCAACCATACTGGTCACGAATTGAAAGATTTCATATAGGCGTGCCAGTCATTCATTGCAAATAGTTCTTACGTCTTTCTCAATAAAAAGCATGGAGTGAAATAAAAAGTATTGCGGTATGTTTATATGTTATGAACTTTTCCATATTATCTCTTTAAACATTATATCGCCTTTATTTATTTTGCGATATTTTCTCTTACTCTCTATTAAATTCCCTACCCACGTCCAATACAATGTTTTTTTCTCTCGCAAATTCAGGCTGGGTGAACCCTATCGCTTAATCTATAACTACCTTAAGCTTACTCATTGGTAACAATGGTAATTTAAGCCTAGTCACAAGCATTTTCCCTTTTTGGATATATACTCACCAACACATTAAACTGAGTATGAAGCTACTAGTCTGTATTAATTTGGATACATGATCACCAACACATTAAACTGAGTATGAAGCTACTATCCTGTATTAATTTGGATACATGATCACCAACACATTAAACTGAGTATGAAGCTACTATCCTGTATTAATTGGGATACATGATCACCAACACATTAAACTGAGTATGAAGCTACTATCCTGTATTAATTGGGATACATGATCACCAACACATTAAACTGAGTATGAAGCTACTATCCTGTATTAATTGGGATACATGATCACCAACACATTAAACTGAGTATGAAGCTACTATCCTGTATTAATTGGGATACATGATCACCAACACATTAAACTGAGTATGAAGCTACTATCCTGTATTAATTGGGATACATGATCACCAACACATTAAACTGAGTATGAAGCTACTATCCTGTATTAATTGGGATACATGATCACCAACACATTAAACTGAGTATGAAGCTACTATCCTGTATTAATTGGGATACATGATCACCAACACATTAAACTGAGTATGAAGCTACTATCCTGTATTAATTGGGATACATGATCACCAACACATTAAACTGAGTATGAAGCTACTATCCTGTATTAATTGGGATACATGATCACCAACACATTAAACTGAGTATGAAGCTACTATCCTGTATTAATTGGGATACATGATCACCAACACATTAAACTGAGTATGAAGCTACTATCCTGTATTAATTGGGATACATGATCACCAACACATTAAACTGAGTATGAAGCTACTATCCTGTATTAATTGGGATACATGATCACCAACACATTAAACTGAGTATGAAGCTACTATCCTGTATTAATTGGGATACATGATCACCAACACATTAAACTGAGTATGAAGCTACTATCCTGTATTAATTGGGATACATGATCACCAACACATTAAACTGAGTATGAAGCTACTATCCTGTATTAATTGGGATACATACTCACCAACACATTAAACAGTGAGTATGAAGCTACTATCCTGTATTAGTTGGGATACATGATCACCAACACCGTTGGCAGTGAGTATGAAGCTAGTATCGTATATTGTTGTTGTAATTACTCACCAACACATTAAACTGAGTATGAAGCTACTATCCTGTATTAATTGGGATACATACTCACCAACACATTAAACAGTGAGTATGAAGCTACTATCCTGTATTAGTTGGGATACATGATCACCAACACCGTTGGCAGTGAGTATGAAGCTAGTATCGTATATTGTTGTTGTAATTACTCACCAACACATTAAACTGAGTATGAAGCTACTATCCTGTATTAATTGGGATACATACTCACCAACACATTAAACAGTGAGTATGAAGCTACTATCCTGTATTAGTTGGGATACATGATCACCAACACCGTTGGCAGTGAGTATGAAGCTAGTATCGTATATTGTTGTTGTAATTACTCACCAACACATTAAACTGAGTATGAAGCTACTATCCTGTATTAATTGGGATACATACTCATACTCACCAACACATTAAACAGTGAGTATGAAGCTACTATCCTGTATTAGTTGGGATACATGATCACCAACACCGTTGGCAGTGAGTATGGAGCTAGTATCGTATATTGTTGTTGTAATTACTCACCAACACTTTTAACAGCCAGAACGAAGCCGGTGTCTTGTATCTTTCCATTGGAAACAAAAACTATTTCAATGTGATTTTTCTTGTATACAAATATTCTCTGTATATTCGATCCGCATTGACGGATCCCATCGAGCTTTACAAAGTCATATAAACAGCCAGAGGAGTTTTCTAACTTAAAATCATCTATTCCAACTTTAAGCCAAAGAAATTCTTTTGTTGTTATTTTCCATTTGCACACGACACCTGGCGAGTAAATACCCTGCTCATTTCTAGGGGAGATAACTAACATTGAATCTCCATGTTGTAGAGTTCTATTTCCACCACAATCTGAAAATTAGTATAAGAAACATACGGCAATGTAATAAATATGGTAATACACACGTGTTATAAAATCTTAAGTTGATGCATCCTCGATATCCAGAGGTTACGTTCATTTTAGCTCTCTACACCCCTGCAGTATGAGAGTTCAGTTGGGCGAAATATCTCTATGGTTTTTGACAGCTGACTTAACTGTTTCGGCAAACTGTGGCTTAGTGAGTTGTTTTCAGCGGTTTAGAGTCGAGACACCAGTTATCAACATTCTTAGCTTTACAAAAGAATCACACGTTTTCGAAAGCTTACGAAATAAGTTTTCAATTCCTGTTTGTGTTCAAAATAAATGTAGCCTTTCTTATTCATACCAAACTGATAAATTGTATTCCAAATATTCCTACGCTACTACCAAATAGTGGACTTTATCATAACTGTATTTTTCTCTCATATATTTTGATGTTTGCTATTAAATGAATTTGAAATGTTTTAATTTTTCATTATTATTTTCATTGCATTTCAAACCGTTCACGATTAAAACATATGGAAGTACATTGCACTCTTGTCATATCAAATTATTGATCTTGTTTAAAAAAGTTCAAGATTGCATGGACACGAATGTATGGATTTCAACAGCGTATTAAAAGATAGTAGCATAAGGTTGACATAAAGACAGTTGTTGAAAAAGCACTTCAGAAATATGAGCATTGATTTAAAATATAAATAGATGTGCTGTGGTTAAACTCTTAATATAATTCAAACTGTATAAATGAAAAATGAAATAGAACTAATGTTTTTAACGCTTTATATATTCTAAACTGTAGAAATAAAAAATACAGCTATTGCATTTAAACGATTCATTATCCTGCAGTCTTGCATATGTTTATCTTGCCGCAATATTCTGACATACGCTTGTCTTGCTCAGATGCTTTGATTTTCTGGTCTTGAACATGGTTCTGACATATTGCCGATCGTGTGTTTGTACGTATAATATATGACTCACGTGCAGTTAATTAAGCTTTTCTTACTCACTTGCTCTCACATAAACCGGCGTAGACATGTTACTACGACCACCTTCGGTTAATGCCACAACGCTGATTATGTACAGTCGCCCCTCGTACCCACTAGTGCTAAGGGTATATTGATTAGATGACGCGTTCACATGTACTCCATGACCTTTAACATCAGGAGTGACGTCATACAGGATATTATATTCAATTAGGTCATCGGCACGAAGAGAAGGTGCCTGCCATTTAAGTATGATTGAGTCTCTCATCGACTGGACCTGCACGTGCTGAGGTGGCATCGTTGGAGGAGCTTATGGAAAAAATGAGAATACAGTCGTGTCAAAAAAGGACATTAATAAAAAGAAAAATTATCACGGACACCCTTGAAAAAGTACATGCGAAATATGACCATGTGTTCCGGAATTATAATCGTCTTCTGCCATATAAATCTAGATTAAGAAGGTTACTTTTTTTTTAATTATCAATTGAAATGTCTTCGTCCTAGCTTATTTCATTGTATTACTTTTCACTAATTGTTAGAAGAAGAATTAATAAACAATCATTGATGACACAGATACAATTTAACACGCCCCATCATTCTCACTAGGGCTATGCAAGAGCATACATGCATATTCAATCGCTACCTACATTTTTAACTTAAATAATGATTTTTTACAGTTTATTTTGTGAACTTAGAAAATAATCCAATGTTGAATTTATATGCCAAATCTGGACTGTTTATTAATGTAATTACTCAAATCACGGATTAATTACAGAAACACCTAGTTTGATATTAGTAAATTGATGAAAAATGACGCACAAATTGAACATTTTCTGCAATAATGGCCATTTCAGCCATTTAGGACGAAGCATACTAAAAATATATACAGAAATGCAGCAAAAGGAAAAGGCCTATAATGTAATGATATCATTTTATACCATGGATGTCAGAGTCAGAATCCCTAATGTGTCTTGATATCTTCTACTGTGATATGTAAGAACAAGTGTTTCCGAAAGGTAACAACATTTGTCGAAAGACATTGCACCCGATATCCTATAATCATAAGTACAAGCTGCTTTCAAAGTTTCAGAATATTGTTTTTTGGTTTTTGATCCTGTCAATAGCCATATACTTTTTATCATATTGAATAGTACATGTAATATGACTAATTCCTGAACATAAGTATACTATATAGCACAATCACACAAAGACAGAATATTTTACAGCATGAACATATGAAACATACTAGTATTGTTACGAATTTATTGTCTACTAATATGCATATTTCACCCATCCTAGAATATTGCGTTTACAAGCAGGAAAGAAAAATTATACCTGAGAGTTAACACAAAAGAAAAAATACTAAACATCGTCAACAAAAAAAGACAATGCTTGAATGAACTACAGCAAAATCCACAAAATAAGGGATATAAGCAACAAAATATACCAAATTGTCAACACAAACGGATGAAGTGTGAACTCATAGTTGACAACATGACTGGGACGTATGATATCTTACCAACAGATTTCACAAACATCCTAAATCCAGGGCATTTCGATCTGTCTGTTCGTAGTTGTAACTTGACGGAATATTTGTCAATCACAAGTGGTGATCTGACATCCAGTGTTTGCGTAACTGTCTCATTAGGACTAGTCATAGAAATTATTTTCCAAGGGATGTTCCAGTCATACGATCTAATTGCGTTTGAAAAGAATAGTTTAAGATAGGAATGCGGCGACGTTTCAACACTCCATGAACAGAGGACTTCTCGTTCGATAGCACCTGGGAAGTTCGGAGAGTGCAGGGTTATTGAAGTTCCCTCCTCTAGGAAAAAGTCCTCCTCACACTCTGAAATATTTTAGGAAAATCCGGACGTATAAGATTTTCAATTTAGATTATAATTTTTGATGTACACATCAATTTGGTAATATGATATGTTTCCTTCTTTTGCATTTTGCATGATTGTGTGTATTTTGCATATCAATCGAAAAAAACCTGTAATAATTACACAGTACCATTAAACTAAACTATTATACCAATCAACAATACGATCTAGTATACTTTATATCATTTTATCATTATATCATATGATGTCATTATATTATGTTTTGTAATACTCTTTCCTATCATTATACTCAAACATAGATGTCATTTTACCATTTTGTTATATTACATCATTTCACATTATCATTATATTAACCATAACAGAATATCATTATTACTTAATTTAACGTTGTATTCCTTAATATTTAAACAATTAATAGCAAAATATGAATATAAGTTACAATACATATATCCCTACTGTATAAACGTTGACAGAGTAAATAAAGCAAAATAAATTGTTTATCCTAATTTCGAATACAAGCTTTTGCTTTCAAAATTAAAAAGAAATTAAAATAATATTCGTCTTTAGTATTGATTTCTTATCACCTTCTGTACCATGCATGTAAACTCGTTTGGAACAAAAAATATAAGATGTTATAAGAACTTTGGTATTGCTCTTTCAAGTAAATTTCTTCAATACTAAAATACATAGGTATACAACCTGCTCTAGTGATGACGGCCGTTGTTCTGTTGCTTTTCCAGTGAGGCATCCTTAGGACCAAAGATATATTGAATAATTGACCTTTGTGATCTTTTACGTCAATATCGTTATGGGAAGTATTTGAAGCTACTTCCTGTACAGTTTCGTTTAAAGATGGTATAATATTATAAATTACTAGGCAGCACAGATTTGGCACGCCATGCTTCAAATCTGTCCAGGAAACGCGGATGACGCCATCAATGTTCTTTGTTATGATGATAGGCAGTTCTGGTGACGGTAAAGCTGTAAATAAAACTAATACTTGTTTAAATTCTTATACAAATGTATAGATTATAGAATGGTAATTGTATTATTAAAACGGAAATTAATGAGTTTTTCTTATTTTCCTCGAAATCACTGAAATTTAAAATATATATATACCTTCTAAAGTCAAGTTGAAACTTCCACCTGCTGATCTGCTGACGAATTTCACAATGGTCACATTTGAAGTGACGTAGAACACATCTTCTATCAATGACGTATTGCACAACAATGGTTGTCCTGATATATCGATGTACGTCTGACACGAATCGTTTGGCAATATTACATTATTTTGTGTTACCTTATTTTTCAATGGTTCGTGATCTTAACTCACAATAAATCAAGTTGACAAGAACAAACTATTAGTGAAATGTGTTAAACTTAGCGTTGTGTTCAGATCGAATATTGAAATATCTGACGTGGGTTTCAACCTGCATCCAAATGAGTAATAACACATCTATAAAGAATAACTGTGATGTCTTCAATACTTATTTCAAAGATTTTAAATTATTATTCAATATATGTATTTAAGAATGAGAACGCACTACCTCTCACGTAATATCCTTTTTTATGCACAATACGAAAGTAGTAAAAGCAAACACATACTAATTTCACAGAACATTAATAAATGCATCTTACCTGAGCGGACAAATCGTGTGGCGATCGCGAGGCTCTTGTCGTTCATGTAGAGTCTAACGAGGAATAGCATGCCTGGATATGATGACGTGGAAATATTTGTTTGAGTTGTGTCCTTTTCCAGTTCGATGACAGAATGTGACGTAGTACCCATTATTTGGTAATACACAGAGTAGACATGGAAACTTGTGTTTACGTCCACGTTCTCAGTCGGTGACCATTCTAGATATATATAGCTAGGATGCACCAGCGTTTTGAGATTCGTAGAAGTGTCTTGTGGTCTGGTTGCATATCCTTCAAACACGATTTGAAATGTCATTAAACAATGTTTAATTTAATATGTCGCTGTAAAGACGTTTGGCCCCAATCAGTATCAATTATATACAATGCAGTAGCGTTTTTTTAAAGTGAGGCATCCATATTATTTATGAGTTGTATATGTTTTAAGTCAATAACATGTGTACATTGGTTTCATATTAAATGTGAAATCCAGACATATCG